CACAAAGACAGTACACACACACACACACACACACACACACACACACACACACATGAGTGATGGGCAGAGACAGAGGCTAGCCCTAGGAAATGGAATCCCCCCAGATTGCTCCAGTGATGTTGAACAAATTTCTCTAGGACTATTTTCTCAGCAGTGAAATGGATCCCAGTTCAGCTCCCACTTGCTTCTCAGGGTGATGGTGGAATAGGATGGGAGGGAGAGAGAGGCTGAGCCCTGTCCCCAGGAATGCCTGTCCCCTCCCACCCCCACCCACCACCCAAGGCCCATAGTAGCTCACAGCTCTGGGCTAGCTGGCCTTGCGCCTGCCCAGTTCTCACCATTTTCCTGTTCTGTCATCAGCTTGTTCCTCACAAAGAGCCAGATGGCCTCCTGGCTGGGGCCATCCAGCCCTGCTTTGCCTAATCTGGATCCCACGCCGGGCGCCTCACCCTGGAGGCGGTCCTTATTGCTCCTTTCCATCTTGTCCTCATAATACACCACACTGCCCCTTATCTTCTCTAGCTCATCCACGCGGGCTTTCAGCTTCCTCACCTCCTCGGCTGTGATGGACAGATACAGGCCATCAGAGGGGTGGCTCTTGCCCATGGGGCCCCAGTGTGGGGATGCCTTTACACCCCTGGGACCATCTTTCAGGAATATTTATGCAGAGACAATCCTTGTGGCCACTAGCAGCCAAAATCCTCCTGAGCCTTAAAGAAGCCCAGCCTCTGGGAGGATGCTCAGACAAGGTAAAGGCAGAAAACCAAGAAGGCATTGCCTTACTAAGAGAGGCCATCTGTGCAGGGAGCCAGCAGTGGGGCCAGGAGGGACCTTAGATTCTCAGTGCTCTTTCAGTGGCCACTAGACCGGGACCGGGCGCTTAGAGGGATGTTTCCAGTAATCTCAGACCCTTTGGCCCTGGCCCTCATTACCCCTTGTGGTAGGACTTGGTACCTACCCAGAGCGATGAGGCCAAAGAGCAGCCCCAGCAGCAGCAGCCAGGTGAGCAGCAGGCCCAGCAGCCACTTCCACCAGCTGCAGCAGGATCCGCAGGGGCACCAGGCAGGTGCAGCATCCCATGCTCCCCCGCCGCCAGCACCACCACCACCACCACCGCCTCTGCCTCCACCGCCTCTTTCTCCACCGCCTTTGCCTCCACCGCCACCTCGGTCATAGCCGTGGATTTCTGTGGAAGAAACAAGGACAGTGAATGGAATCCAAGAGGCTCTTGCCCTCTTCTGTCCAAATTTGGTGAGGTCCTGTGGGCATGGTGAAGAGGTTTTGAGTTCTTGCTGTGGCTGGGGAGGAGCCTAAGTCTGACAATCCTGGGTTCCAGCTGTGCGACTCTGAGGAAGTCACTTAACCTTTCTGTTGCATTTTATAAAATGGGGTTTCAGGATGACCTATTTCATGGAATGGGCATGGAATGAAATGAGAGAAGGCCTTTAATCAGAAGAGCAGCCCATAACACAGTTTAAATATCATCATCATTAGGAGTGTCACATGCATCTGCCAGGACGCCTGGGACCGATTAAGATCTAACCCTACAACTCTGGTCCCCATGCCTCACTCGACAAAGCTCACCCTTCGTTGTTCCCACACTCAGCACCATAAATCTAAAGGACCATTTTCAAAGAAAAGGATTTGCAGTTCTCTCAATGAGATGCTAAGAATCCACACACTTCCCTCATAAGGAAGGGAGGAGGTTGAGGAAAAGGCTGAGGGGTGGGGCAAGCATGGTTTAGTGTTATCTTGGGCCAGTCCTGTTGCTCCTGTCCTGGTGGGAGACCCTGGATCTCAGGGCCCACAGCTACCAGTTAGGAGTTGTAGAACCTGTGAAGCATCATCCCTGTGCCTCTTTCTGTGATTATCCCCTGCCTTCAGACTGTCCACTCCCACGTCCACTCTGCTCCCTTTTGGACTTTTAGGGGCCCAGAGCTAGTTGGCTCATGTGTACACTGGCTCCAGGCAAGGAGTCATCATCCATCCCACTAACCACAGCCACCCTGGAAGATCCTTTCACTGTTCTTACTCACCTGCAGAGGTGGCTTTTCCTTTTGTAGACACAGTGTTCACATCTCCTGAAAGGACAAACACAAGTTTGGAGCTTGAGGACTGGAAGAGCCCACAAGCTTGCCCCTCATGTTGATTCAGCATAGAATTTCAAGTAAATTTGTCCCCCGCCCCCAGCACCTTGCCTAACACAATGAGCAAGGGCTCCCAGAGACTCAGTTCTCAGGGATCCGATATTTGCATTGAGTACATTGACAAAGTCATGGTTTGGTCAGTGGGGGAAGGAAGCACAATGTTTTAGCTCCGTGTTTCTGGACGAAGATATTGGCTGTGGGGAGAGTTGGGGGGGGTGTGACATTTGCATTGAAGCCATAAATGTGCTTATAAGAAAAGACTCTGATCTCTTTTTCTTTTGGTGCTGCAGACAGAATCCAGGACCTCACACATGCTGAACACTGGCTTTACCACTGAGTTATGCCTCAGCTCCAGTTCTAATTGCTTACCCAAGGGACATTGACCACATGTAATTGACCTGGGATGGTAGGAGCTGAGAACTTTTCAAAGGTGAACTTGGAGGATGACTGTTTGTGAGTGTCTGGTGCTCCTGGGAAATTGACTATTTATGGGCCCATGTGGAATTTTCTGGAAAAAAATTATCTATAGCTTTCATCAGATTCCCAAAAGGACTGTTTGACTCCGCACCCCAGCCTTACACCTAAAACGGGAATAACTGCTAACAGTGACGATTTAGAGTCATGCTCCAATTCACTTGTCAGAATGGTGTTGGACTTAATCTGCATTTACTTTAAAAGTTCTGTGACCTCACTTTCACTTTCCTTTTCTCACATCCTCTAAATTGGTGGTTCGCAGAGATTCTGTAGGACCTTGTGAAGACACGAGATCACCCAAGAAAGAATTCGGGTATTTGGGAAGGAAAAAAATAAAGCTAACAAATGATTTACAAAACATTTTTAGGTTAGAGACTAATAGGAGAACTAACAGGGTGAAAGAAAATTCTCTGTAGACGTGCGGGAGGAAGGCTTTTGTCACGAATGACTTAGGCGCGTGTTAAAATGTGGCTTCTAGAATGTAGAGGTAGCTCAGTCTGGAAAGTGTTTTCCAAGCGGACAGATCTTGAGTTTGATTCCTAGCACCCATATAAAAAAGTGGGGCATGGTAGTGCATACTTATAATCAGTGTTGGGAAGGCAGAGGCGGGTAGATCCCTGGGACTTACTGGCCTGCCAGCCTAGCCTCATTGGTCAGATCCAGGTCCCATTGAGACTCTGTCTCAAGAAAATAAAGTGGACAACTCCTGAGGAACGAGTCTTGTGGTTGACCTCTGGCCTCCACCCTGCCCCCCACAAACACCCCATTAGCATGCACACATCTTCCCCTGCCCTCATCCAAATCATGAAATTCCCACTCTGCAGGTCTGAGGAGGACTGATTCTGCCCTCCTGATATACTCGCAGGGGCTACCAGTGCTGTTGTACCGATACCCCTTGGAGTGGTGTGGTCTCAGAAGACAAATGATGTGGCTTGTCAATGTCAGGTGGGCAGGGTCAGGTTTGTCCTTACCATTCACATCTGCCTTCAGGCTGGCGTCAGCGGCGTATGCAGCCTGCTTTTCTTTTTTCAGGGTGTCTTCTGAAAAGGAAGCTGTGCACAGAACCTGTGATAACCTGGTACGCCCTCTCCCCAGTCTTCCTGCCTGCACGTATTTCCTTGCTCCTTAGGAAGACCAAGGCTAGCCTGGTAGGAAGCCAGTCCAGCCTTGCTGGGGTTGATCTCCTGTACTGAGGCTTGTGGCTAGACTCTTGCTGCCAACAGATCCCCTATGGGAGCTCTTTGTCTGAGTTTCCCTGGATTATGTGCTTCAAAGCAGGGCCTGACACACTATTTAGCCAGGCGTTTTTCCACTGACATGAGATCCTGGTGATTTCATGATTAAATGGTTTAAGCCACCTTGTAAGGACATTAGGTCCCTTCCTTCTGAAGACTGCGTCACACGGGCTCTGACGTACTTGCAGTGATGGTAGCCGGGGAGGCAGTAAAGACCTTCCCGCTGTCCTTGGTCATGATCAAGAGCTCCATCTCCTTTTTGGCTGGCACATTGTCTTTCTCCAGAATCAGGAACTTACAGTCCTTGTGCAAGAGGTCATCACTCTGGACACTGGTGGTACAGGCTGGAGAAGGAAGAAGCAGGTGAAGAGGAAGGAAAAGATGTCAAAAGGAAGGAGAGACATGACATGACCAGAAGAGGAAGGGGAAGAAGAAGAGGGAGAAAAAGATATTCATGTGCAAGGATCTACTCTTTTAGATAGTGGTGCTATGGAGCATCTGGGGGACCGAGGACACCTCTCTCTTTCTGGCTGGGTCTGGTCATCATGAAGTTGGATCAATGACAGCAGCGCTGGGTGACTGGTCTATGGAGCTGCCTCCCCACCTGGAGACATGGGATCTTCACCGAACTTGCAAAAGTCCCTTTTGTCCGCCAGATCCTTCTTTAATGTGGTAGATTTGTTTTGGTGTTCTGGGGAGACTTTTCCCGAACACCTATCTAAAGCTCTCTGCTCCCATTCACGGACTGCATGTTTATCACATCACCTGTTTCCTTAAGAATTTTGTCATTTTCTGTAGTTGTATTGTACACTTTGTGTTGGTCACCTGCCTGCTCTGTTGGAATTGTCATGTGGTGAGAGCAGAAATCTATCTTGTCTTATCTGCCTCTCCTCTTAGCACCTGGAAAACTGTCTGTCTGGTACCAAATGGGTGCTCAGGAATTTTAAAAAAACAATGAATGAATTGCTGAATGGAAGGAAACACACAGGGATCCAAAGTGCTGGAGGAAGTTGCTCACTGCAGGGGTGAGCCCAAGATGAAGATTCTATAGGAAGTGGTGAGGGTCCTGGTGGCTTCTGAGTGACTCCCTGCCTCTCACAGGTTACATTTCATAAGAGAAGGCTGAGAGTTTCCAGATAAGCGTGGTGACTGGAGTGTAAGGGCCAGACATTAGGCGGGTATGGAGGGGAGACCTTCTTCTTCCCGGGAGGAATACCAAGGTAAGTTTAGGGGATACTCAACTCTATTTGTTCAAATATCCAAGAGACCTTTGGGGTGATTTGTGGATCTCAGACTATCCGTGAGTTCTGCTCTCACCTCTGGGACACCATGTGTCACACAATTCTCCTTGTGTGCCAACCTGGGTTCTAGAAGCTAGGAGAAGCACTTACTAGTAGAAGTGGACACACCAGTGCTTGCAACAGCAGGGGCCTGGGGCATGTTTTTCTTCACACCATATGCTGCAAGAGAGGAAACACAGATGAGCTGGATCAACATGGGAGGGCGGCCTGGTCAGCTGAGAGGTAGCAGATGAAATCAACTTGCTCTAGCAGTGGGGTTTAGATAGGACATGTTTGGTTATAATTCTTCTTACATTTTTTTAGTTCTTAGGGCCACTTCCTCTTTGGAAGTTTCTATAGGCCGTATTCATGTCCTTCCCTCCTGTCCTCTTACTCTGTTCAAAGTCACCTAATTCCTGTTGCTTTACAGGATTCTCTAATTGCTTCATGCAGGTTAGATGTTTTATACCAACTAATCAGCCGTCAAGGTAAAGGCAAGTGCTGAGGATCACCACAGTCCTGTCTCGACATTAACCCCTAGATTTGCTCAGGGCAGTGGTCTGTGGGGTACACTGTAAAAGCAACCACCGATTTACTTCAAGTGACAGTGGGCTGTCAAGGACAGACCACCAACCTGACCAGTTGGGCTGAGAGATGCACAGGGACATGCAGGTGAGATGTCACAGGGTAGAGATGCTACTGACAACACAGGTTCCTCTGTGTGTTTAACTCATGTCTGAGGCAAGGAAGGATGAAGGTTGGCATCTCCAGGTTGGGAAAGGGGGCTGATTTGTTGTTGGGAAAGGCCTTTTGGTCCTTCTTATTTGGTTGTTGGAAAGGTATGTTGTGAGTTGTAGCTTCAAAGAGGTGTCAGTTCCCAGCTCCTAAACTCCAAACTTAGGCTACCAACCTGTGGAAGTAGTGGCCGTGCCATGGGACAGGGCAGATGAGCTGGAGGCCAGATTGTTCTGCATGCCAAACACTGCAAGAGAGATTGGGAACAGGTGGGGAAGGTGTGTGCGGGGCTACCCTCTGTGCCCTCGACCGCTTTCACAACAAATGCTTTCACCAATGGCAGATTTCCAAACTTGCTGGGTTTCAGTCCTTTTGTTTATGCCTCACCTCCTAACCCCAGAGTAAACTTCATTAACAATTGTTGAGGAGTCAGGGCCATACAGCTTAATAACAGTAGTTCATGTAGTGTCTGACCAATATTTCTGCATCCCTCAAAATCCTAAAATAGCTCAGAGGTTTCCTCTGTCGCTCTCTGGAGTTATTTGGTACACACTGTAGGAACAGTGGGCATTGCAGATACCCTGAGAGCTGAAGAACACGAACTTGGCAGGTTTCCAGCCTCCCCTTCAACTCTTTTGACTCCAACACATAAAACCCCCTTGCCCCAGTTTTAACTTCAAGGCTTCTGCTGGCTGACTTTAATTGACACAACCTGTGATCACCTGGGAAGAGACTCTCAATGAGGGATTGGATTGTCTGTATTGGGCTGACCTGTGGGCATGTCTTGGGGGGAATTGACTTGATTGCCTTAATTGATATGGGAAGACCCACCCTAATTATGGGCCCACACTATGTCTGGTAGCAGGGAAGAAAGGACATGAAGAAGGAAAGCTTTCGACTTTTTTTTGCTTGCTTGGCATTTACTCTAGAAAGTTTATCTACGCTGTTTACTGCTGCTGCTATTAGGAGCAGCGTCTTTGATCTTCCAACATAGACTTTAGACCAGCACCTCTCCAGGAATCCACCATGCCTTGGGTAGCAGATTGAGACTGCTGGGGCCACCCAGTCTTATGGACTGAACAGCCACTGGGCTCTCTCTCTGGTGTGAGATAACCATTACTGTACTGCTCCAACCATATTGTGCTGTTTAAATCCTCCCTTAGTACATATTCATCCTGTCATCTCTCTTCTTCTAGCGAACCCTGACTAATAGAAGGCTTATTGGCTCTGTTATTTCTGCTGCTAATGACATCCAGAAGGTCATTCCTCTCTCATCCTAATTTCAGTTTCTCCATCCTGTCTACTGTTTGGAGAAAAAGGCCATGAACCCAGTACCTGTCCACTGCTCCTGGGGGAGGGGCATGGGTCAGCAAAACCTTTGCAAAACAAAGTAGCAAAGAGAGGAAATCATGGGTAACTCTGGAATCTGGAGTGTTCTGGATCTGATGGGATTCTGGTCAACTGGAGATGTGGAAATCTGATCTATAAATGAGTCTGTAGCTGTAGCAGGGAAGCAAATGAAGATCCTCATCATTCTGTTTACTTATTACAGAGTTTCAGGGAGCAAGCAGGTCACTTTACAAATAGTGGGACTGGTAGCTTGTGCTCATATGGACTAAAGATATGTGGAAACAGTGAGGCCACATTTCCTTCCAGTGGTCATGTGTTTGCATTGGAAGCTAAGCAGTAACATTTACCTGAGGTAGCCATTCCAAAGGACTATTGTATTACTCTATAAAAAGATCTGAAATAGGGTCTGGAGAGATGGCTCAGCGGTTAAGAGCACTGACTGCTCTTGCAGAGGACCCGGGTTCAATTCCTAGCACCCACATGGTGGCCATGAACTGTCCTTAACTCCAGTTCCAGGGAAATCCGAAGCCCTCTTCTGACCTCCGTGGAACTGCACAACGCCAGTGCACTCACATACATGCAGGCAATACACTCATGCACATAAAATAAATAAAAATAATAAATAAAATATTTTTTAAAATCTGAAATAAAATCCTCCTTGAATTAACAATGTTTTTACCCTGAAAACATCCTAAGCTGTGACCCCAACTCTCCTGGAATATAAAGGTACCAGCACAGAATAAGCTTATTCTCCCTTTAGAAGTTTCCCTTGGGGTTTTGAGTTCTTTCTGTAATCAATTGCAGGCACTGTGCCTGCTGCCTTCTAAATCCAGCTGTGGCCTCTAGCTCTGGATTGCAGAGTGCATGGAGAGAGTCCTTCATGATTCTGGGCAGAAAGGACATCTCTAGAAGTGATTTCACAGTCCTCATCAGGAAAGAACAGTGTATGTGTGGTGTATGTGTGTGTGGTATATGTATGTGTGCGTATGTGTATATGTGAGTGGTATATGTGTGTGTGGTGTGTATGTGTGCACATGTGTGTATGTGCCTGTGCCCATGTGTGGAGGCCATTGTGGAGGCCATTGGTTTCTTCCTCTATCACTCCCTGCCTTATTCTCTCGAGACAAGGTCTTTCACTGACCTTAGATTCCTCACTTTTTTGGACAGACCGGCTAGTCAGCAAACCCCAGAGATTCTCCTATCTCCAATCCCACCAATTCTGGGGTTACAGGAGCATGTGGCCACACTCAGATTTTTATGTAGGTACTAGGGATCTGAACTCAGGTCCTTGTGACTATGCAGCAAGTGCTGTTACTCACTAAGCCAGCTCCCAAGGCCAGGAAATTTTTTTTTAAATTTTATTTATTATTTTTATTTTATGTGTATAAGTGTGTTGCCTGCATGTTTGTGAGTGCACCAGTGTCGTGCAATGCCGCGGAGGTCAGAAGAGGGCCTGCAAGAGCAGTCAGTGCTCTTAACCACTGAGCTATCTCTCCAGCCCCGGAAAAATATTTTTTTATATTTAAGCAACCAGTCTAGAAAAGGTCACCTGGAGCTGGAAAGGTGGCTCATTGGCTAAGAGCACTGACTGCTCTTGCAGAGGACCCAGGTTCAGTTCCCAGAATCCACATGGCAGTTAACAATGGTCTGTAACTCCAATTCCAGGGAATCTGATGCTCTCTTCTGCCTCTGCAGGCACCAGGCACACACATAGTATGCATACATGCAGGCAAAACATCCATACACATAAAATTTAGGTTAAAAATCTTTTTTTAAGAAGTATAAGAAAGAAGGTGACTCAAGATGACAGCACTGACCTGAGGAGCAGGTGCTGAGCCCGGGGTGCAGGGTGGGTGAGCAGGACGTCATGTTATTGGGAACTCCAAAGACTGCAGTGTGGAAAGAGGAGGAGGCAGGTAAGAGGGATGTCTAGGCCAGGGCAGGACACACCAGAAGAAATGCCAGGATTGGCCTTTACTGCTCTACTACACTTCCATTTTTATAAAATAATCTTAATATTCCATTCTCTTGCCTTGCAGCAGAGAACCAAACATCTGCCTGTGGTAATACTTGGATCCTACTAAAAGTTGATCTTGGGCTGATCCCCCTGGAGTTGCCAAGTGGGTCCAATTAGAGGCTCTCTTGTTGGTGACTCTGTTTAAAGAGAGAGTCCCTGGAGTTCAGAGAAATTGAGTTTTTCAAGAGTCACCCCCTTTGATGCTAAGTATCTTTTATCTGTTTTTGGTGCCCCTTTCTGTTGTATTCTGATACCCTGTTGTATGTTCTTTCTATAAGAAACCTTCTAGATTAAGTTTAACTGAATGCAGTTCCAATGGAGAACACTTGAGGCATCTGACAGTAGAAGACCTCTCTCAGAAGCCCTAGGGACGAGAAACACTGAAGAGTTCCTCAGTAATAGGGCGGAGCTATAGCAGTTCCCATTCTGGGGGTGACAAGCGGTATGAGGCCCTCCACCTACCTGATCCTGCTGAGTAGGCATTGGTGTTGAGGAGGGAGGAGCTCTGGGTTGTCATGTTGTTGTGGTAGGTCCCCATGGAGGACCCTGCAGGCAAGGTGGAGGACCACATATGCGAGGGAAGGTTGGTGTCCAGTATTGTCGCATCATAGGTTCCTGACACTGGAAACAGAAACACATACATCCCACTGAGAGACGGATGAATCCTTTCCTGGGGGAACTTGGCTGGCTTGGCTTCCTGGGATTTCCCTGACTTTAGCACTTAAGGTCCCATATCCTAGAAATTCTCTCAGTTCAGGATGCCTTGAAGTCAAGGTTTGATCTCTTAGCTTGCAAAATTCTTGCCAGCTCTGGGTGAAATTCAGAATTAATTTTGCTTTGGTGTTCACACCACTGTGCCTCCTTCTAAGTTTTTCTCTCTATATTTTGGTGGTCTAGCCCAACCAGTGGTCTTCCCCTCAACCCTTTGCTGGCTCCTCCACCTTCAAAGATGCCAAAAAGTAGCTCACTTAGGAAATACTTCTAGGCACCCCAGCAGATGTGGGGGTGTGCATCTGCCAAGGAAAAGTTTGGGTATGAGGACTCACTGCACATGGCAGCCTTCTTGGTTAGACCCTCCATAAGCATCTCTATGAGTCAACCAGACCCTAGAGGCATTCTGTCCCTGAGATGGCTTTTCATGCTTCTTTAAATCTGATGCCAGTTCTGCCCATTTATTCTGTGACGGGGAGCTAGTCAGACAGGTGGTAACATGCCCAGAGGTTTGGTTTTATAGGAAAAACACACAAGGGAGGTCATGGTTTCTAGGCTTTTCCAGGAACAGGAAGAAAACACGTACAGCTGAGTCAGCTTCTTTTCTCACCTCTGTCCAAGGATCTGCTAATCTGTCTTCCTGCAGAAGTACTTCTCTCAGAGCACACAACCATCTGCGGTATGCGTGCCGAGTACCATTCATTCCACATGACTGGAACCTCTTGGTTTTCTGTTCAGTGTCTCCCAGGGACCCTCCCCTCCATAAGATCACTGACTATGCCTCTCTTGTCCAGAGCTTTTTCTCAGGGCCCTTGACACAGGGGAGGATAGAATAAATACTTCACCCATGAATGAATGAGAGCATTCTTGGGGAACCTGACCAACAAATCCAACGGTCTCAGAACCTGCTAGGGGAGAATATCTAGGATTCAGAGCAGGGCTACCATATTCTCAAAAGATGGCTGACCAGGGAGATGAGAAGGCCTCGCCCACACATTCGGTGTGGGAAGAGCAGGTGTCAGTGTTCTATGAAGTCTCTGGCAAAGCTGAAAGGTCTCCAGGATACCCTGAATTCTGGGCCATAGCAAATCTACCACCTTATCCCCATCCCTCCATGGTAGTCTGGGGCTGTCAGGCTTACCTGACTGGGTGCTTGCTGTCACCATTTTGGTCTCCACAGTGCCCTTCTTGGGGATGGGGAGTGTGTTGGAGGTGTTCCTGGTAGGACTGGCACTCGCGGATCGGCTCCCCTTGAGCAAACGCTTGACCTCATCCAGTTCTGTCCCTGCAGAAGAACCCCAGACTTTCTCATCAGGCCCAGGATTCTTTCCTAAGTTCAAGGGCAGGTGGAATGTTGATGGCATTCTGAATACCAGCTAGGCTGGCTGCTGCCTCAGACATGAGGATATTTTTCATTAGCTTTATGATTTTTGCATTTTGCTAGTTTATAACTCTTTTCAACCTGGCACTTTGAATCTTAACAGCCTCATAAATATAGTGCTTCGCATAATGAGCTCAAAGTCTTTGGGTGATATTTCCTAATTAGGCCTCATGAAGTACCACAGGGGAGAGTCTGTAACTGGAAGACCTTGTCATCTGGGATGAGGAAGTTAGAGACCCAGACCCCTTAAAGAAATATGCCGTAATAGTTGTCTCATTCCCTGCACATGGGGCCTTGGATGGCCTGGTATGCCTTCGAGTGTCAAAAGGGATTTGTGACCCATAACGTCTAAACATTAGGCTGCACATTCACATGTGGCTTAATTTCCAGTCCACTTGGCTAGTACCGTTAGTATAGCATGGTGAACTAGTAGGATAGTTTCCTTGTGCCCCTCTAAAGTGGAAGACAGGAATGAAGGAAGGTATCATGCAAGAATAATGGACAGGAGAAGACAGCTAGGCAGACAACAGGTGTTAGGGGACTTAGGGAGGTCCCCTTCCCCTTTCCAGAAAGCTCCATTTTGGGGACCTAGAAGGACTTAGGTGAGAAAGTCATGTCCCTCGACCAGGTGTTGAGCTCTGTGGGCCAGCACCTGTTAGTGTCCTGAGCTGCTGACCTGCCCTTCCTTCTTTTATCCTACATACTTGGATCCTACCCTGTAATGTTGCCAAGGACCCTCTAAAAAGGGCAATAGGAATCTAACATATCCAGTGCACTGAGACTGGGGAATATCTCACTTTGGAGATAAAGTTCAAACCCTTATCCTTGAATCCTTGAGTTCAGTTCTAATCTGAACTCTCCCATTGTGATGCCACACTGAACTGACTTTCCAGTATCTCAAGCTAGCTACATCATCTGAGCCTAACTCTGATCTACCCTTGACTGCTCTCTTCAAACAACTGTGTCCCAGGAGGGCTTTTGGCTGCTCCCTCTGTCTCCATCTCCCTGGGCTGTACTCCCTTTTCACACTAAGCTGTGGAGGTTGACTAGTTTCCCATCTTCCCCATTCTAGACTATGAACTATTATTAAATGGCAAACTGTAACTTAGTCCTAGCACCCAGAGCAGGGGTCAACCCACAGAAGGCCTTTATGGCTATTTGATGAGTGTATGTATTAACATACACACACACACACACACACACACACACACACACACACACACAACCCACAACTGGTCAATGCGCAGAGAATAAGAGGCTTCAGGCACACACACACACACACACACACACACACAGAGAGTACTAGTCCCTGACTCCTCAGTATTATGCTGCATGTGTCTCTGATTAACTTTCAAGCTTTCCTGGATACTTTGTTGTAGCAAGATAGTAGCCACTTACATCTGGTAGATGGCGATGCACTCTGCAATCGAACTCGAATTTCACTCTCTGTACAAGGGAAGAGATAGAGATACTGTGGATGAAGGAGGCTGGATCACACTCCTTGACCCTGAGTTCTGAGCAGATGATGACTCTTTGGGCTACTCTGGGATTTCTGAGTCCTGGACCAGAAAACTTAGGTGTCCCAACAAGAGTATTGCTACAAAAGGGATATCTCCCCGACCCCAACCATACACTCCCAGGCTGAACAAGGAGACCTTATGACACTCTTAAAAACCATTCCCTTTCCCACCATCCACTTCACAGTTGCTGGTGCTGAGCATTTTTCTGTCTCTCAGCTCACTCAAGGCAGGGACCACAGAACTCCAAAACTTCGATGCTCACTTAAGTCATTTGACCTCTTCAGAATGGGAGTCAGGAAGTTGGTAGCTTATATTATTAGTTTCGGTTAGAGAATTGGCATCTTTTAACTCTCAACTTAGAACTGTGGGTGACTGGGATAGCCCAAACTTGCAAGTTCCTGACAGTAGTAGGATCCGCTGAGTGCTTAGGCTGGTCACAAATAACTCACTGGGCCTGTTGAGGACTCTGTCTTCAGTGCAGCCTGACATGCAGATCCCTTGGTGCCCCAGAACTCTGCTAGGGCAGCTTTTCCCAGGGCCTTTCTCTCTATACTTTATTTTTTGAGTTAAGGTCTCTCTGTAGCCCCAGCCGGCCTGGAACTCACTATGTACAGCAGGCTGAACTTGAACTCACAGAGCTCTGCCTGCCTCTGCTTCTGGAGTGCTGGGCTTGAAGGCATGCACCACCACACCCCACTCTCTCTGTACTTTCTAGATCTGTCCCTTGCAATTATTTGAAAAAGAAGGGGCTTTTGCTCATTTCCTAGTATATAAAGCACAACCTGTTGGAATCAACTGGAAGGCTAGACATGAAGCCAGATGTGGTGTCTGTATGTCTCAGATGGTCATAGTTTACTATCATTATCAGATGCCCGCTTCCCATCCTGATGAAGTAGGCAAAGATTCCTTGGGCACTTCCTCAAAGCAGAAATTATGCCAGACTTACTCTTCTGTGCTCTACTTCCTGGTTTGAGGCTGGCATGTATTAGCTGCTCAAAATTAATAGAATTGAACCCAGTGATGTGATGGTACTCACCTCGTGTCTGGCTGCGTCCTCTGGTCGAAGAAGATGCTGAGAAAGAGATAAATGTGATCTTAAGAGTTGGCGTGCTTGATATTTTTGACACTGAGGTAAACATTTGTGGGGCACTTTCATAATGTCTAAATTCAGATGGAGACTTTTGTGTATAGCAGATGCTGAATAAATGATGTACAGATATTAAAGGGCAAATAATGTTTTACGGCATCTCAATGCAGTTAAAGTATTAATTAGCTGAGTGGATGCTGAGTTAGCTGACACTTAGAGCACTGTGGCTGAGGTAATCTACTTGGGAGTGCAATGCATTTGGAGTGGTTGACCACACTGTCAAATGGATCAAAAGGCTGATAAATCCTTAATTTGTTTATCAAAGCCTGCCTTAGTTTTCCCAGTGTAAGCAAATATAGAAAATTATAATAATTATGTAATCAGGTCATAGCCTCAATTCATGTATATAATGAGTCTCTTAATACAGACCCCAGGCATGGTTGTGCACACCTGTAATCCTAGCTCTCAGGATGTAGAGGCAGGCAGATCTCTGTGAGATCAAGACCAGCCTGATGTACATAGAAAGTTCTAGGCTAGCTGAGTCTACAAGGAGACTCTGTCTTGAAAAAAAAAAAATACAGATACAGACCAACAACTGTAATCCTAGCACTCAGGAGATAGAGGTTAGGGAATCTCTTTGAGTTTGAGGCTAGCCTGGTCTACATAGTGAGTTCACAGCTAAGAGTGTTGCAGGCACATGGTGTGGCCCTTTAAACAGAGCCCCAGGGGAGAGCTGGGATGTCAAGCATTTGTGCAAAGTGACTGTAGCTCCTCTTTGGTGGCCATGCTCTGTTCAGCTCATGGAAAGAACAATCCCTGCTGGGCCTTAGGCACTTAGCTGTCTAAGCATGAATTTGCACAAACAGCTCGCCATTTTAATAGTGTCGTGAACAAATGTTTATGACAGCAAATGAATGTGACTGATAATCCCCTAGGATGCTTCAGTGTAAGGAAGGAACAAGGGAAAAGCAGGTCAGCTGGGGTCAAACTCCTTTAGAAGAATTCATTTGGCTCATGATATCCCTTACCCCCCATCTCATCCCCCAGGTATTTTCTTAGTGCTCTATTTGAGCATTTTTCTAGAAAATAAGGAGAGGACATACCAAATTCCTTCCGGGGGTATTCCGGGGAAGAGTTACCACTGGAGCTCCCTGGAGAGAAGATAGAACATTTAGTACAAGGGTCACACAGGCCCTTAGGGCTTCCCAGATGATTGGGGGGGGGGCGCCAGTCACTCCTTTTGGAGGCCCCACAGCTAGAAGTGTTTCAGGCAGGAATGAGCTGTGCTCTTAGCAGAATTCACCCAAGCAGGGGTCTTCCTCCTGTTTGCTGTTTCGGATGTCTGCAGCCCTGGGAGCCCAGTCTGCATTTGAAATCCCAGTGGGATGGTTATTTCTCCTTACATTTAATCAATCACAAACCCTGTCAGTTCTGCCTCTTTTATCTCACACCTCCCGCTCCTCCTCCATTTTTACAATCTAATTCCACCCAGATTTCCTTCTTTTACTGAAGATCTCCTCTGAATTTATCACCTGCCCATGGCTTCCTGGCTCAAATGATCGTTTGACTCAAAAACCTCTGTGCCCTCTCCTTGTGTGCAGAATAAAATCTAATCCCCTCTTGACGTATACCTCTGCCCCAATGCATGCCCTACACTGTCCTGTGTGCCACTGCTTCCCTACCCTGGACTGCCCCATCCCTCCTTCTGTGGGTGTCAGAAATACAGCAGGATGCTCCAGCTCAGATACTGTTAGAGTAGCAAAAAGCCCCATACATTTAACTGGTCCAGACTACAAAAATGTCTAGTCTGTTGGAGGACGCACTTTTCCAGTCTCACTGGTCAATTACCTGGTGATGGAACCACTCCTAGGAAGGCAGGTTCACTTTAAGTTATGCTAAGTAGACAGGCAGAATACCTGGTGTGTTAATGAGGTTGTGAATTTTTCCTGCCTGGAACTAGAGCAGATCTCCACAGAACTTCCAGACCAGTCACAGTCATGTAGGTCTCCATAAGTCTGTCCGCTTTCCTGAACTCTTCAGGAAGGTGTAATTTCTCCTTTTCTTCTTCATGCCTTTCTTACTAAACATGCTTTCTCTAAGGCTTTGGGCTGCCCCCAGCATCTTGTGTTTCTTCGCTTTTTTCTCTAAAGCTTCCTTCTCCCAGCCATGTGGCTGTGAGTCACCCATGTGTCTGACCTCCACACAGGCTCTAACCCTGCATGGCCCCATGGCTTTCTTTCCTTCTTCCCACTATTCACCTCCTCAGGGCAGCTGCCAAGATTACCAGCTTGCCTGCTCTGAGGATTTTTCTCTAAGATTCTAATAAAACTGTAAAAGCTTCTGTTTGGGTCCATTCTTAAATTCTTCTATGAACAAGACTAAGAACCTTCTAGGGGACCCTCTTTACCCCCGTTTCAATGCCATCACCTCCATAGAATCCTCCCTGATTTCTTCAGTGGAAGGTGGTCTCCTTCCACTGTATATTACTGCTTTTGATCTGTCATCTTAAATTGCCTGCCACACCATAGGATCCTGTAGATAAGATCTAAGGGCATTCTATACAATATAAAACATGGTAAAATACTAGTTGAAAGTGGCTACACGGATGAAAGAAAGAATGAGAGGAGGGCTGAATGAAATCTTCTAATAAGATAAGTCTATAAGAGGAGTGAGGAGAAAGATGGGATGGGGTGCAGGCACAGGAGAATGTGTAGAGGAAGAGTAAAGTTCTCGTCTGCAGATACCTTCATATGCTCCATGGTGGGTCACGCGCGTTTTCCTTTCAAAGGTTGAGCCTGGAGAGTTGGGTAGAGTGGAGGCGGGCGAATGAGCCCTCCGGTAACTGGAGGTGGAGGTGCTGCCTCGGATGCTTCCACCTGCAATTGGGAAGTGTAGAGCCTGGTGGCCCCTACCTGTGCAGAGATGACTCCCACTGCATTGAAATGCAGGTGTAATAGCCAAATGTCCTTGAGCTTCTTCTAGCCAAGAGAGGGAACTGCTAGAGGGGCGGGGGACTTCAGGGGACATAGGTGAGAGACAGGTGCTTGGAAATGGAAGGGATGATTGCTGCTGTTTCTTTTCCTGGGGAGACACTGAGAGGCTGGGATGTCCTCACACAGAGATTGTGTGATAGTGGTAAGAATAAAGCAGGGCTTTCTTGAGGACCTGGTGCTGGATCACAGACTCTGCTCAGATGGACTAGAAGATAATCCCCTGTGGTGCAGACCTGTGTAGCTCAGGGCAGGAGCTTCTCCTGGCCAACCTGGCCCTTCTGTGTTTTAGGTTACCTTTGTATTTTCTCTACAAGATTTTAATCAGGAGTTATGTGTGCACTCTTGTATGTTTCCATTTTACTTTTGCTTTGCTTTGTTTTCATGTTTAAAGTTGTCTCATGGGAACAATAGGCTTGTGTTATGTGCTTGTCCAGAGCAATATGGCAGTGTGGGATTACATGTCACCAGAGTCTCTTGTTAATTCAAATTGTAAACCCTAAACACCCACAGTCTTTCCTAAAAGAGATGGCTTAAAGAGAGAGATCCAGTGGGAAAGCAACCACCTCCCAGGAAGGCTTCTTAGTTGATACTGGTGACTTGATGAAAACTGAACCCATTTTGGGGGGGGATCTTTTTGAAACAGGGTCTCCCTGTAGCCCCAACTGGCCTGGAACTCATTATGTAGACCAAGCTGGTCTTGAACTCACAGAGATCCGCCTGCCTCTGCCTCCTGAGTGCTGGGACTACAGGTGTATGCCACCATACCTAGCTAAAACTGAACCCATTTTAAGTAGGCATCCAGTGCTGATGGTTTAAGACTCACATCCTTCCTGGGCCATGTGTCATTTAGGCAACTCTTTGGGGCATGTGGAATGGGTGAAAGGCAGTGGTGATGGTCCCTCTCATGCACTGTTTGCAGATGGTACATTTTCTCTGCATCTCCCTCCCTGTCCATCTCCTCTGGCCCTCACACCAGTAGGCACTTACTTGAGTTGATATAGCCACTGCTGCCGTGAGTCAGGCTTTGTTTCTCTAGCCGACTCCCTCCACCGAGAGAGCCTGTCTTAGCATAGCCATTGCTGGTTCCCCCTTCTGTAAAAGCAGATGACAATCTCAGGGTAGAGTCAGGCCAGAGGGTCTCCTCATCCTCTGCCCTATGGAAGCCATCCCTCCTTTCTCACCAGGACCCTGTTGGTCAGGTTCCCTCTTCTACTGTACCCTCCTGTTTTCTACCTTATTTTAGATACAAAGGTCTGGAGTGAAGATACTGCTTGATCTGAAAGGAGAGCTTTCTGGTGATGCACAGCAAGGAACTCATTAGGAGAATTAAACAAGGCAGCAAAATGATGCCAAGTTCCTTGATCCCAGAGCAAGGTTGTTTTGTTTTGTTTTGTTTTTCCAGATGCCTGATCAGGACCCAGACACAACAGCCACTAGCAGTGCTGGAAGGATGGTGCTTCTCTGTTCCACCTGGTGGCTATTCTGGCTCTCGTTACTGCTCTGCTGTGGCCGCAGATGAGTGGGGTCTCCCCATCCAAAGGTGCAGGGGTAGTGTTGGGTCTTGATTTCTACTGTAGAATCTACTAGAACTAAGGAGCTCCTAGAGAAAAGTGGTATGAAACCCAACTCTCAGGAAGGCTAAGATTTCCAATACTTTACTGACTAGAACAACAAACCCATAGAGGCAGAAAAGTAGACTTGCTGGTCCCAGGGGCCAGAGAGAGTGGAGAAGAATGGGGTATGGCTGCTAATGGGCAACAGGGTTTATTGCAGGGAGTGATGGAAATGTCCTAAAACTAGCCTAAAGCAAGCAAGCACCCCGATAATCAGTGAATTATACACCTCAAACTGTAGCTGTTGTGATGTCTAAGTTGATATCAGCATAGCTGGTAGCAAAAGAATATATTTCAGATATTTTGGATTTCCTCAGTGGGAAAGTAAGCTCCCATGTTCCTGACTATGGCATGGAGCCTTCATATATGACCTATCAAGATAAAGCCACTTACTTGGTGGTAAGGATGTAAGTCTTGTAGTTACTGTTTCTGTAATAACTAGAAAAACAAAGAAAACAGGAGATGTTATAGGATGTGCTGGCATTTTAGCAAGGCATGGTATCTGTCATAGGCTAAGCATATTAAGTTAGACTCAGTAAATATTTTTTGCATACCTGTACATTAAAGCAAATATGGTCTTACCCACTGTACATGAAAATATGAAGGAGGTGCATGACCATACAAATAGAGTCCTACTGCTCCTGGGACCCTTCTCATAGGAACCTACAGCAATGGTGTCAGCACGCACAAGACCCATGCAAACTCGAGCAGACAAAAACCCGGCACAGAACAGTGGAAATGGACAGCAGACCCCAATCTTGGTCAAAGAATTATCGACAGCTGATTACATGATAGGCCTTAACACAAATGACAGAATGTATGAATTCCACCGGGGGGGGGTGCTATGGGCAGCTGCCAGTGCGGAAGGGGGTATAAAACTGATAAGATGTTCTGTATGAAGTACACAAAGATTCAATAAAAATGTTTAAAAATGAACATATGAGCAATAACAAGGTTGGAAGTACCCGGAAAATAAGTTTTTCTCTTTGGAGCCAAAAGAAGTTAGTCATTTGATTTGAAAACCAAGTTATCTTGGCATTAAGGTCTCTCACTGACAGCTCCAGGCCAGCCCTGTTTGACTCTGAAAGACGAGCTCCTCCTTTTTTTTTTTTTTTTTTTAAATTTTAACAGCCACACGTACTCTGTCTGTTCCTTCCCAAAGGCCTCTAGGCTACCTGGGCCAACACCCTAGCTGATCTCATTCTGTATGTCCTAAAGAAGTTGGGTGTCTTAAGGGTACCATGATTCATTTTGGAATCTTCAGGGCCATCCCCAAGTGTGGAAGGTGCAGAGAGAAAGGGTGGTCTGAGTAAGTCACTTTTGGAGGTTAATGAAGTGAGCCATAGAGAAATCTCAGGGACAGATTTATAGAAATAGTCCCCTAGCCTTGCACGATCCTGAGTTTCTCTACTGCTGAGTGATGGTGAGAATATGGAGACAGTAACAGCTTGTGGTGTTTGAGGGAACACCAGGTAGATGCCAGGCCTCAGGCCTTCTATGTCACTTTCCTACAGTAGCATGAGGAAGGGGTGGATTCCCAAAGCCATAGAAGGGCTAATTTTGCTTCTGATAGTGGCCATCACCCCTACCTCTCTCTGTTGGGCATAGAGGTACCCATCTGGCTGGAATGTGTGGGAAAGGGATACATGTGCCATGGTGTACATGTGGAAGTCAGAGGACAACTTGTGGGAGTTGGTTTTCTCTTTCTACCATATGGGTCCTGAGGGGGTTGGAATTCATGTTGTCAGGCTAGCGCCTATACCTGCTGAGCTATCTCACTGGCCCTCACTAGTGTTTAAAGATTTTCCTCTGTATGTGTGTACATGTGTGCAGGTGTGTATGTGTGGCATACATGCACACACCCATGTGGGAAGAGAGGGAAAGGAGAATGGAGTGGAAGGACATAGCTCAGATTACTTTGTGCCTCATGAAGCCGTGCCGTTGGTACATGTTCCAGCTACACTGTCCCTCCATCCCTGTCCTTCACATGACATGTTCCTCGTTGGTTGAGTTGTCCTCTCAGAAACACAGGGTTATGAGTGCAGCAGAAACATCATTCAATACAGAAAGTGGAATGGTGTTTCAGAGGAAAGTGGCGGCTGCATTTGAATAATAGTCCTTAGGCTTTCAGTAACCTCTTGCTGTACAGACCTTTGGGATTCTTTGACACATAAAAATAAATTATTTCCTAACCCAAAGTCCCAAATCTGTAGAGCCAGAATTTTTTTATTGGAAATAAATGAAAGTCACAGAATAAATGAAAAAGTTTCCTAATTTAGAGTTGCTAGGGAGACAATTTAAATGTCCCTGAATTTATCATTTGGACAGTTTCACAAAGTAAATGTATCTGTTTTAAAGGGTAGATTCTGACTGTGACATCAGTGTTATATCAGCCTAGTCTCTGTGATAAGTAAGAATTACACGTTTAGAATTCTATTGTCCTATGTTCTTAAACAGAGAAATAGGAAAATAAAAGACAGTGAATTAGTCAATAGACTATTAAGCAGTCGTTAAAAATTCTGCTTGGAAATGGCAATCATTTTCTCTCTCTCTCTTTTCTGCCTCTCTCCCTCACTCTTTTCTTTTTTTCTTTCACTTTCTGTGGTGCTAGGGCGGGAACCTTGAGCCTTGTGCATGCTCGGCAAGTGCTCTACCACTCAATCATATCCCTAGGCTCAGAAGTGGCAATTTTCATCCTGGAACAAAATGCAGGACTCATTTATTTATAAGTATATTAACATAAAAATCCAGAAGAGCCATCTTGAGAAAGGAATCAAATCCATGTGGGTACATATTTTGAAATGCTACAGTGATTGTGGTGGAATTAGAATAGATTGTTTATTGTGTCTCCAAATGAACTGAAACAATTTTAAATTGAAAAAAAACCCAAATGCTCTTACTTCTTTCAGTGACTTCAGTGCCATCTTGCTTGTTTTTCTTAGTCACATCCATCCCATAGCCACCTGCAGGAGAGACCAGAAACCATTGTCTTTAGCAAGTCTACCTCTCTGCTATGTACACTAATAACCTCAAACTTGTTTCCTAGAATTTAGAGTCTAATTCTTGTGCAGATTTTGTACAAGAGATGTCCCCATTCTTGTCAGTGGCTGTAACAGGCAGAATCCATAGTTCCCGTATGGATTCTATTCCTTTGAGCCGGAATCTTATTTTTCAGAATCTAATAGAACAGCCTGCCCTCTGCTGAGCATCTGAGGGCTTCAGCAGTCACAATACCCTGGCCTTTGTCTGATGACAACTTCTATTCTTTGTCAAGGTAATAAATAGGTGAAGGACATCAATCGGTCAAGGCATTTGGTGCTGTTGACTAATGCATTTTGATGTGCCACATAGTGTTCTGTGTTCTAGGGCTGGGGAGATGACTCGGTGGATCAAATGCTTGTAGCACAAACATGCAGACCAGAGTTCAGATCCCCAGAACCCTGTAAAAGCCTGACAGGCTTGGAAGCCACTTGTAACCTCAGCACTTGAGAGGCAGAGACAGAGATAGGGGATCCCTAGTACAAGCTGGCTAGCTGGACTATCTGGAATGGCAAGCTCCATGTTCAACAGGTAAGACCATGTCTTTAAAAAAAAAGTGGCAAGGGGCTGGAGTGATGGCTCATTGGTTAAGAGCATGGCTGCTATTGCAGAGGACCCAGATTTGGTTCCCAGCATCCACATGGTGACTAACAACCATCTGTAACTCCAGTTCCAAGGGAATCCTAGGCCCTCTTCCAATGTTTATTTTATTTTATTTTATTTCTCTGTCTCTCTGTCTCTCTGTCTCTCTCTCTCTCTCTGTGTGTGTGGCTTTGAAGTGTTTTAATGTCTTTTAAAATCATAAGGAAAATAAACATGCTCTCATTGAAATTATATTGTTCTTAGAAGTTTTATTTCTTTTTAATAAAGGAAGGAACCCACAAAAGCAAAGGTCTCTAGGGCTCATCCACGTAAGTCATAATATGGCACTAGGTGACTTCCCTGATGAAAACCAAGACCACATGAGAACCAGCTGAACAACCTGGTGGAATTAACCAAGACTGGCAAGAGTTAGCTTCAGGGTCTGTCTCAATGTGCCAACTTCTTGCTCAATGGCGATTCTTAAATGTAGCTCTAGGCAAGGTATGAGACATCACAGAAAAAATTCTAGCTGCATCTGCAATGCCATGGAGTGTCTTTGTAGATATGTTTTCTAGAGCTAAAAGGAAGGGCTGCATAAACAGCTAATAAGGGAGCCTAGCTTCGTGAGAGGCCAAACCTGGCCATGACCACAATCTGTGGTCTGGCCACAGCCTGTGTGACGGCACCATGCCAACTTCCATGTGTCTATCACGCTCTTTGAAATTGTCAGTTTAAGCATTAGTTACCTTCAGAACCCCTGAAGCCCTCTCTGCTGCATTATATCACGATTTTCATCATTATTATTTTCCAAATTGGTCATTAGCATAGACCAGGAGGCATTTGAGGAAATTAAGCATTTAAATACTCTTGGTTGCCAGTTGGGGGGATGACTGGCTGTCTAGGATAATTCTTTAATTGATGGAGAATATTACATGAAAAGACTGTTTATTACAATCCCTGAAACTTTCACTATACAGGGTGTTCTTTTTAGTATTTATTATTTTTATTTTATGTGTATGAGTGTATTGCCTCCATGGACTGTTTATTACAATCCCTGAAACTTTCACTATACAGGGTGTTCTTTTTATTATTTATTATTTTTATTTTATGTGTATGAGTGTATTGCCTCCATGTGTGTAAGTGCACCCATGTTGTGCAATGCCCATGGAGGTCAGAAGAAGGTATCAGATTTCGCTGGAGCTGGAGTTACAGATGGGTGTTGGCCTCCATATAGGTCCTGGGAATGGAACCCTGGTCCCCTGCAAGAGCAGTCAGTGCTCTTAACCACTGAGTCGTCTCTCCAACCTACGAAGTATTATTTTTGGTACTTTTATAAAAGATGCTGATGGGATTGACTGAGTTGGTTCCACTTGTAGCTATTGAGAATGATGCATGGTAGCTCTGTCCAGTTTCCAGAGAGCTAACCCAGCAGATTCTGTTGCTTCTGTTGTATCCAAGAAAATAACACGTTCTTCATCTAGTCCCTAAATTCTAATGACAAGACTTCAGTTTCTATAGCAAAAAGTCACAGGCTCCCCAGCTTCCAGAAGGCACAAAGAGACAGGCTACTAAGGAATCAGATGTCTCATCAGGACTTCTAACATTCTAAATGTTTGAGCCATTTCTCTAGCCCAGTGGAAGATGCATTGTGAATAGGTTCCGGTGGGCACTGCCCTTTGCATGAAACCTTTCTAAGTCTGTTTATGCTACTGGTATACAATTCCTTGCCAGCCTGACTTGTTGGAGGTGGCAAGGATGGGCTGAGAGATGGATTCCTTTAAATCAAATATAAGAGTTTCAATGGAGATAACGGGCACAAGCACAAACCCAGGCTAGGACAGTCCCACAGGACATCTGGTGTTCTCACAGGTCTTCTGCTTAAAACATTCCAAGTGCTGGTAGTCTTTTAAAGTGTAACGTCAGGGAAAGGAAAGTTTGCCCAGGTTCTTGCCTGAGCCTGCCGTTGCTAGCAGTCCTTGGCTGTGCTCTAGTCTTCCAAAAGTACCACTTAATGGAAGCTCTGTCAAGTAACATAAATTTTAACTTCCTAGATGTTTGGGCTACTTCACTAGCAAAAGGATGAGTGGCTCCTTCAAGTTCTCAGAGTTATACTGATTTCCATCCATAGTTCTTTTTCTAAGATTTATTTATTTTATTTCTTTATCTTTTTGAGACAGTCTCACTTTGTCATTCTGACTGACCTGGAACTTTCTATGTAGAGCAGGCTGGCCCTAAACTCACAGAGATTTACTAGACTCTGCCTCTTGAATACTGGGACTAAAAATGTGCACCACAACACCCAGCTCTAAGATTTACTTTTAATAGCTACATAGAAATTGTCTGTTTCTATTCAGTGTGATAAATTAGGTACATGTACATATGCAATGGTTCAGTAAGGGTAAATAACATTTCAATCTCCTTAAACTCGTATCAGGTTTTTTGGTGTTGGTACCGACAAACATTTTTTTCTGGTGTTTATGAAATACATAATAAGTTGCTATCAACTCCAGTCCCCTCCTTTTGCTGTAGGACTCTAGAACTCGTTCCTTCCATCTGACTGTATTTTGGCAACTATTAGTCAGTGTATGTCTCTTCCCATCCCCCACGCCCATGTTTCTTAGTCTCTACTAATCACTGTTCTTCCTACTTCTAGGAGGTCAACCTTTTAGTTTCCCCATGAGTGTGAACATGCCCATCCATCTGTTATAAAGACCTGCTTTAAAATTTTTTTTTATTTATTATTTTTATTTTATGTATATGAGTGTATTGCCTGTATATATGTAAGTGTACCTGTGTTGTGCAATGTCCACGGAGGTCAGAAGAGGGTGTCAGATTCCCCTGGCACTGGAGTTATGGACAGTTGTTAGCCACTGTGTGGGTGCTGGGATTCAAACCTGGGTCCTCTACAAAAGCAGCCAGTGTTCCTAACTGTTGAGCCATCTCTCCAGCCCCTCTTTCTAGCTTTTAACTTTCAGAACCACTTTTCCTATATTATGCTAAGAAATCATAAGTATTTTCCATTTTCTAATATCTAATACTCCGAATTGTACTCCTGTATGCTCCAAAACTTCTAATACTCTGCACACTTCAAAATTTAAAAATAAAACGAAAAAATGGACAATGAGAAAATCACACCTTGGCTATTTATCTGACAAGACACAAGAACCAAGCGGGTTGAGTGCCAGGCAAACCAGTGCCCCGGCACAGACATCATGGGGTTTGAGCTCTTCAACACTCAGAGATGGGCTTGCTGCCTATTACATTTGGCCATGCATAACTTTTACTACCACAGTGAGACACCAGTTCTTTGGCCACTGTGGCTGCTGCCACTGATGATGGTGACTGAACCAAGTGATGCCAAAAAACTTCTTTCCACCTATCCCAATCTGAATGTTGCTGGTAACTTATTAGACCTGATCAGTATCCCCAGTTTCTATGCAAGTTTGAAGCAGGGCTTTTTTTTTTCTCCCAAGACAGGGTCTTCCTGTAGCCCCAGCTGTCCTGGAACTCACTATGTAGACCAGGCTGACCTCGAACTCACAGAGATCTGCCTGCCTCTGCCTCCCGAGTGCTGGGATTAAAGGCGCTTACACCACCAGGCCCAGCTGAATCAGGGCTTTTTACTGTAACTGACTTCTGTATGTATTGGTCTGATTCATGTGGGGTTTTTCAGGGCCCAAGAGCAAGGCAAACCCCCAGTTCTCTGAGGACATCCATTAACAGATAGACATTTGTTTGAGTGAGTTCTTCCTCAGATCTGCTTCAAGAGAGCACATGTGGAGGACAGAAGAAACAGTTCCAGTTCTCTAACAAACAGCTTTGAAAGGCATCACCACATTTTAAGGACACAACAATGTCAACTTACTGACAATCAAGTAACTGTTTCTAGATAGACGAGAGATGCCAGAGGTTTGCCTCTGCTTTAAAAAGTGAAGTGAGGGGCTGGAGAGATGGCTCAGCGGTTAAGAGCACTGGCTGCTCTTGCAGAAGACCTGGGTTCAATTCCCAGCACCCACATGGCGGCTACGAATGGTCCTTAACTCCAGTTCCAGGGGAATCCGAAGCCCTCTTCTGACCTCCACAGCATTGCACAACACGGGTGCACTCACATACATGCAGGCAATATACTCATACACATAAAATAAAAAGAATAATTAAAAAATATATATATAAAAGTGAAGTGATAACCTGTCAGGTAGCACAACTGTGGTCTAGTTAGACACCTGAATTGGTAATTCTAACCCCAAAGTGATTCAGAGGGGAAGAAGAAGGGGGAAAGAGGAGGGGGATGAGGGAAGCCAAATTGGTTGGTCAGTGTGAGTATGTACACAGAAAAGTTCTTTCTCTCTATTTTTCTTCCTCCAAGTTTGACTCTAGGAAATTCCTGGACCAGTCAGACCATTCAAACATTTCTCTTTACTTTAGATTAAGGGAAGTGGTGGTTTCACAACAGGATAAACACCCATGTCTGCTCAGCCCTTAGACCTTAATGTGAGCCTCAGTAGCTCAGGAGTGTTCCTGGGAGGCCTCTACTCACCTGCACTTGAACTTAAGTCCTGAGGCAGTCTTCTACTGTCTAGTGGGAAGAAGGAGATAGACAGAGGGGGAGAGCCAGACAGCGAGAGAAGACATTGAAATCCGAAGAGAAAGAATCACCAGCCCTTATCTATTCTAAAGAAAGCAATTTACCACAAGACATGTCACAGTGCTGACAATAATACAGAAAAATCTTTGCCAGGAGAGCCCAGTTTTTCGTAACTGTAACCAGTATCCTCTCTCTTTCCCTTACAGAGATCCTTTGTTACTCCTTCACAAGGCCAACCCTAAGCAGAACACACACACCACGGTCCACATTTATGAACAATTAACAGCTTCAACCAGACCTTTCGACAAGAAAGAATTTCATCTTATTTTCTCCAATAAACATTTTAAATTTGAAATTGGCAAGCCTTAAACCAAAGCCCCAGAAAAAGGGAGAAAGGTCAGTCTTCGTGTTACTCACCTGGCTTAGGAGTTTGGAGGATCTGGAAACAAGTTTTCTTAGATATCCCCTCTCTCTTTCTTCCCCTGATGCCTTTCTTCTAAAAATTTGCAGTGCCACTTTTTTTAACCAGATCTGGCCAAGGTGTGTTAAAGCTGAGTGATCTTTCAAAAATGTTTGCTTCTTCTCTCTCCCTTGTTTCCTTCAGTACTTTGCTTCCAAACAAGTCCTGACAAAGGTGTGCCGTGGTTTGCAACCTTACTCCACCCTTCCAATTATCTGACACTTGCTGGATGTAAAAAAAAAAAAAAAATCTGCCTCCAGGAATCAAACTTTATAGAAGGCAGAAAGCTTCTGACAGCTTAGGTAGATTAACCATTTACAGACCTGTGAGGAAAGAGGAACAGAGAGAGGACTGACACATGGGAAATGCCCTTTGTAACTTCTCTTTCCTTACCTTCTATAGTTGGGGAATTACCATAACTTGGCATTCCCCTACCTTGATGCCACAGGAATCCTGGAATGCCAGTGCACATGATTCACAGGGTACCTAGAGACCTGAGGGGCCTGGGCCAAAGTGTCTGAGCTCTCGAAGGACTGTGGAAAATGTATATTAAAGATTTGTTTCCCCTATTCATGCCTTTGTCCTTCTGACCAAGCCAGGTCAAACTCATCTGGAGAAAACGGTGAACTAATCCATGAGTATATCTATTCTCAAGACTGAAGAGGACAAGCGGTTGGGATAAAGGCTGGTTTTTTGATGACCTGATATGTGATGCCAACCTAAAAAAGAATGGCATGTTAGTGCTATCACTTACAATGGAGAAAGATACTTGTGGGCAAAGGTATGGACGTTGTTGTCCTTCAAATCTGGTGACCACATTGTCTCCATATACCTAGGACACATGGGGGTACCCAGATGCTGTGAACTCCAAGTATATCCCATAGTTCTTTAGACTTTCCCAGAGGGAAACGGTCCAATCATGAAGTCCCTGAAGGTCCCTGAAGCATAGCACTGATACATGTCCGTGATGGGCACTCATACCCATGGAAGAACAGCAGACTACTGGGAATCACCTGCAAGGCTCTCACACCTAAGCTACCCAGATTCTACAATGGAGTCCCCATTTTGGAGCAAGCTAGAATTTCCCATCCACTTTCTGGAATGTTCTTGTCTCTCACAAACAAATACTTACTCAATGCATCTGCATATAATTGGCATGCCCCTGTATCACCCATTCATTCATTTGTTCATGATTTCATGAGTAAAACAAAATATTATTGCTTCCTGATTGGAGTCAAACATTGAACTTCATGCTGAAAGTCCAGTGGTGAATTATAGATGCATTCCCCATTCTTATAAAGGTCATAGTCTAGTGGAGGGAGACAGGACTTAAATGCACTTTGGTCATGCTGCCATGACAAAATATCAAGACCAGGTGGCTCATAAAACAGAAAGTTATTTTCTTGTAGTCCAGGAGGCTGAATGGTGAAGATCAAGGTGTCAGTAGGTTTGATTTCTCTGGAGGTCCCTCTTCTTGACTGGCAGATGGCTGCCTTCTTACTGTGTCTTGAAACAGCCTTTCTCTTTATGAAGGCCTCCTTGCTGTCTCTTTTTGTGAGTCTCGCACTCCTTTAAAAAAAACAAAACAAAACAAAAAAAACAATGTGATTTTGATTTTATTTTATTTAAGTTTTTACAATGCCAGGAATTGAACTCAGGGCCTTGCCTGGGGTAAGCAAGCATTCTACAACTGGGCTACATGTAAGGCCACCAGTCAGATAGGATTAGGGCCCACCGTAATGGTCCAATTTTAAATTAATTACTTTTTCCAAGGCCCTTTCTCCAGTACAGTCACATTCCTGAGACACTGGGGATTAAGAGTTCACACATGACTTTGGGGAAGGGTCACAATTCAGTTTGCAACAAACAATATATAAAATTATGATTAGGAATGTGACGACTATTATGAAGAAAGAGTCCTGGATACTATGAGAATGTATAAAAGGATCCCTAATCTTGAGGAGGCTGAATAAGTGACATTTAAGTTGATAGATGATAGCTGAGTGGAGATAACGCAGGTAAGGGGCACAGGTAAGGGGAGGCCTTGTGTTCACTGGAGCCTGACAGAGAATAAGGCAGTTGGGAAAGGTCTGAGGTGAGAGATTCATAGTGAGTTGGAGGAACAGGGATGAGGCCAGCAAAAACATTATATGAAGGGAGGGTAGTAGGGGAAGAGAGAAAGGACAGGTTCCCTCTTTACACAGGGCCTCAAAGGTCAATGTGGGGAGGTGGTTTGGGGGACCTGGAAGATATTCTTAAATTGACACTCTATAGGAACTGTCCCAGCATTTGAATTATGAATCCTCTGGAAGAATAGCAATGTAACTAGCTTTTGCTAGGGCCTGTTATGTGTCAGACATTTTATATACGTTATCTTTAATATTTTTATTATTTTTATTTTATGTGTATGAGTGTATTGCCTACATGTGTGTAAGTGCACCTGTGTCATGCAATGCCCACGGAGGTCAGAAGAGGGCGATGGATACCCTGAAACTGGCATTACAGATGGTTGTTAGCCACTATGTGGGTGCTGAGAATCGAACCTGGATCCTCTGCAAGAGCAGTCACTGCTCTTAACTGCTAAGCCATCTCTCCAGCCCCTATATACATTATCTTATATAATCCCCACAGTAACTCTAAGAGTTATACACTGTTGTCTTCATTTTTATTATTTCATTTATTTATTTATTTTGTGTGTGGAAGTCAGAGGAGACTTTTGGGAGTTGGTTCTTTCTACCATCTGGGTCCCAGGGTTTAAATTCAGGTTGGGAGTCTTGGCATCAAGTGCTTTTACCACTGAACCATCTCACTGGCTTTGTCTTCATTTTTACAGCTGAGAAAGGAGAAGCTCTGAGAGGTTGAGTAATCAGACCAAAGATCTCGTATCTCATAGATGGCTGAACCTATATTCCACTTGACCCTTGAATCCTTGTTTCCCATTGTAGATTGTTAAATTTAAGTATACCTGCAGTTTTGAACAGACAAAAACAAAACAGAACAAAACAAAAACATTGTCAAACAGGACAGACTGAGTGTAAGTGATCACCTAAATAAACTCTAAAACTGTGTGAACAGTGGGTTGCTTTCAGACAATGGCACTATGGTGAGGTTATAATTTATTGATGATAAAAGATTAGATAGAGATCTGATTGCTAGGACAATCGAATATTTATCTATAGCTACTATATACAACAAAACATGCTAAGCAGCCATTGGATGAGCATAGATGAGTTTTTCCTCCTTCTGGATTCCTATGATAATATTGATGTTCTTCACATTAAGTGGAAAAATCAGACTCATGATAAATAAACCCAGAAGTTAATAAATCAAGGGACCCATGAGCTAACTTAGTAGCTAACAAGTCTGTGTAAGCATGCTTGCTCCTACACATTCATGTGTATGTGTATGTGAGTTCCCAGATCCTACATTAGGTGCTTTGGGGAAGAAGAAAATGAAAAGAATTTAATATTCACATTCTAGTTTCTCAAGGTTCTCAGTCTATAGTTCTTGGCACAACTGTGTTTAAGATTTGCCTCAAGGGACTAGAGAGATGGTCCAGTGGTTAAGAGCACTGGCTGCTCTTGCAGAGGACCTGGGTTCAATTCCTGGTACCCACATGGTGGCTAACAACCACCCATAACTCCAGTTCCAGGGGATCCGACGCCACCTTCTTACCCTGCAGCAATGCACAATATGGGTGCGTTTACATACATGCAGGCAATACACTCATACACATTAAATTAAAAAAAATAAAATAAAAGATTTGCCTGAGACATGGAATGAAAGAAGCCTTATGTTCGTATACAAAGTTCCTGGTACTAAGGGATGTTTTAAAATAACTAAAGAACAATGGAATCCTTGCTAAAATGAAGAAACAGAGAGTCAGCTTTAAGAAATAGACATGACTAAGACAACCGGAAAGGTGTTTCTTGTTCCTGACTGCATTCAGAGCTAGGCTAATGAGTCATGTCTATCGATCAATTTTGGATTGACTGGAAGTAAAAGCTCCCTAAAAGCCAGCCAGAAAAATAGTCATATTTCCAAAATTATGTAATGACTTTTAAATAGGCTGAGGAATAATGATGTCTGCTCATGTGTGGCTCGGACGGCAGGAAATGAGCAGATTCTTTACTCACTGTACATGAGAACAGGTGGGCTCTGCTATGCAATGGCTGATGCATGTCTGAAAAGTGACAGATAACCCAGGTCTTGGAGACCTGGGTGAGTGCTATTGTCAAGTGACTACCTCCTGAATCTTTGTAAATACTCATTTTCCTTTATTTATTTGGTTTTGAGGGCAGTATCCTATAGACGCATTTCTACCTATTCTGTGATCTTTCTCCCATATTACTCATGTATTAATATGACACATTTATGACACCTGCATCCAGAGATTCTAAAGTTTTAAAAAATATTTTATTTCTTATTTTTATTTATGTGTATGAATGTATTGCCTGCATGTATGTAAGTGCACTTGTGTTGTACAATGCCCGAGGAGGTCAGAAGAGGGCGTTGGATCCTCTGGAACTCTTCTGGAGTTACGGACAGCTGTTAGCTACCATGTGGATGCTGAAAATCAAACCCAGGTCCTCTGCAAGAGCAGCCAGTAATCTTAACCACTGAGCCATCTCACCAGCTCCCGGAGTATCTAAAGTTTTCGGACACATTTACCACCATTCCTGAGACAATAAAAGGTAAAGGGCGCCAAAAAGTGGAGAGACAAGAAAATTCTGTATTTTGTGAGTCAGTGTCAGTATTGTTAATTTAGTTCTTTTATTAGACAGCAAATCCACTGATCAAAAGAAACTAATTCTTGTATACTAAAAATAATACAATAATTACTTGTCACACGTTGCTACTGTTGTATGAAACCATATTTCTGCCTGGATGTCCTTGACTAGAATTTGCTCCTAGGTAACAGAACTTCTCTATAAGACATTATGATAAGGGCACATGTTACTTACATACAGTTCTCAGAGTGGCTGGGCCACTGGAAAGGTGGAGCTGAGAAGAGCTGTCCTTCTATGTGGGCTTAAGGTCTCCACCTGCTTTTCTTATCTATAATGCTTCTAGAATTGTCTGTCCCTTGTGTTCCT